TGGTTTTGTTGCTAAGTTGTGTCTGACTCTTGCTACCCCATGGACTGCAGCCCGCCAGGCTCCTCTGTCCATAGGATTTCCCAGGCAAGAATACTGGAGTGGGTCACCATTTCCTTCGCCAGGAATCATGCCGACCCAGGGATCGAATCCGTGTCTCCTGCATTGCAGGTGGATTCTTTACTAATTGAGTCACCAGGGTAGCTAAATATTTGTTGAATGAATAATTGGAAAATGAAATGAGAAATTAATTTTCGCATATAAAAAAGTAAGTACCTGAAGGAAGTGTAGTATTATTGCTTCCTCAGTGAAGACGAAATCAGCTTTAAAAATATAATCAGAATTAAGATGAATGAAAGAAGTCAAGAAGGATGTTATATGTGTTCTTTAGCTTCATAACGATAGTTCTTGAGAGGAAATTATTACCTTGGCTACTCCTAAATCATTTGAGTCGGAAGTACAGATGATAGAGGAAAAAGACAAGCAAGTACCCTTCAACCAGGGTGGACTAGTGAGGAAATCAGTAAAGTGTAAGTTGTTTAAAATCATTTCTCCTTAGTGTCGCTTTGATCGATGGAAGCAGGTAAATGATCCTTTAACTCTACTGATTGGTGCATTTGTCTTAGGGGAAAAAGTTATGTAAAATCAATGTAAAATGGAAGTTTTGATTCTGTTTTCAAATTTAAAGTAGTTGTAAGTCCAGTTATCATGACGTAAATTCTTTACTGTTCGCTCTAATAGATAATATGACCTAGTTGATTCCATCATCATATCCAACTGTTCCACATTCTTAAGGGATGGAGGAACATGAAACTCCTTGAAGGAAGGCCTTTGAAAAATGATGAGTCAGATATTGAGGAGAAGGGGACTAATATTTATTTAACTATTGAGGTGAAGCATGTGGACACTTTACATCATGTATAATCTAATCTCTCAGCAAGCCCTTGTAAGGTAGATATCATAATCATGTTATTATAGATGAGGAAACATCTATTAGAGTTAAGTAACTCACAGCTAAAACAGGACTCAAAACCTTTTGTATTTTCCACAGCATAATGCTTCTGCTGTCCAATGTAAGGACATTATGCTTTTTGGATAATTATGCACTATTTTAATATTAATCTGAATTTTGGAAACTATATCTGGAAGTTAGTACCTATACATATTTGCTTATGATGTCCAGATTAAATTCTCCAGTAGGTGTCAGAAAGTAAGTTCAGCTGTTCATTTTTATTGCATAGGTGACTAAGAGTGGTTAGATATATTAGTTGTTGTTGGCCTTAATTAAACTTGAGCCCACTAATTTACTTATTATTAAATTTCTTCATTGGCACTGGAAGCTTGAAAAATGTGAGGAGGGCAGGAATGAATGAGAATGGAGAAAGAGACTGAAATTTATTGAGTGCCTATGTGCCAGATACTGTAGCCAATGGTAGAACCAGGACTATAGCACTGGTTTGTTTATCTTCAAAACTTCTGCTCTTTCTATTATGCATCAGTGTTCTTTTTTACTACAAGTTCTTAAATCAAATGTTAGTGTACTTTTGGCCAGGTAATTCATACTGCTTTTTCTCTGAATGTTATACTTGCTTACTTAACTTGGGCACTTATAAGATAGTGGTAGTAATGGTAAAGTAGAGGTTAAAAAACTGTGAAGAGCAGGAAATTTCTCAAGGGGAAAAAACAGTTGTTTCCTAAACCTGGCTCATTATAAGTTTGTCAGTTTTAGAGCCTAGGAAAATAGGAAAAAAAAGGATAAATATGATTCAATACAAATCTATCATCACTTACTAGAAATTAACTCAAATATGTTTATTATATATTCCTCTTTAAAGGAAGATTAAAGTATATGAGGGACACACTTAATGTCATATATTTTTATGCCCAACACTCAAGTAATCTGAAAAAACAATAACAAAGAGTAAATGTTTATGAAGCATCAGTTAAGCAGTTGGAGACTACATAAATAGGCTGGGAATCAAGATAACTGGATTATTTTCTTTACTGTTGACCTTGTACAACACAGGTTTGAGCTATAAGTCCACATATACAAGAATTTTTTTTTCAATAATAATACTATAGTACTACACTATCCTTGATTAGTTGAATCTATTATGGAGAAGTCGCATATGTAGAGGGCCTCCTGTAGTTTATAATTCACATTTTTGCAGAAACTGGGTACTGCCCACTCACATTATTCAAAGGTCCGTTGTGCTGTTATTGAATGATGGTGTAATTTAATCTCTTTATAGATTTTTGCCTGGAAAGAATATATAGTGCCTGTTGTTTTGCCTAAATTACTGTAGAAGAAATTTTGAGATAAAACAGTTATTGTGTATCAAGTTGCTTAAAATTTCATGTTAATTAACATCACTTATGAATATTTACTTTGATACTGGTCATATGCAATTGCTATTGAATATTAAGTTAGAATAATTTTAAATGGAAATGTGATATAATAGAAAGAATTTAGACTTTAAAGCCAGATAATCTTATATATGACTCGGTGCCCTGCTGTTTTCAAGTTATGTGGCCACTATGAGCTTCAACTTCTTTATCTGTAAATTAGCAGCTGTATTAGTTATCAGTTGGTGCAAAAATTATCACCATAAATTTAGCAGCTTAGAGAACACACATTTATTAACAGTATCTGTGAGTCAGGAACCTGAGCATGGCTTCCTCTGTCTTGTGCTTCAGAGTCTCTCAAGAGGCTATAGTTAAAGTGTTGGCAAGGACTAAGGGCACCAGTGAACACCTGAGTGGGGAGGAATATGCTTATCCGCTCACATATTCAAGATTTAGTTCCTTGCAAGCAATAGCATTGAGGGCTGCATTTCTTAACCAGTGATTATCTGAAGGCTGCCCTCAGTTCCTTGCCATGTGAGCCTATCCATATGGCAACTTGTTTCATTAAAGTCCAGTAAGGGAGTCTACCGTTAAGACAGAAGTCAGAATCTTTTGTAATCTAATCATGGAAGTGACATCCTCTCACTGTTGAGGTGTTATATTAGTTAGAATCAAATTACTCCAAGGAAGGAGGTTACAAAATGGCATGGGTATTAGGAGGCAGGATCACTGGGGCTATTCCTCACACAGGGGCAATAATACCTACTTTATAAGATTGTAATGAGTATTAAAAGGAGTAACATATATTTAAAGTTCTCTTTGTTTTTAGACCTGACCTTAAACAACCTTTCTAGATAATACCTGTCTTCTGCATAGGAACCAAACTTACTATCATTACTAATAATATTTTCCATTTTTTCTTGCCATCTATACTTTGTGGAATCTGTTTCTTTAATTTGTAATGATTGCCCCCAGAAACTTGACTTGTCAAATTCTGTTCATCTTCCAGGGTGTATCTCAAATGTTATTTTTTTTTCATAACATTTCCTTCACCTATCTTTCTTTGACTCATAAGTCATCCCCTTCATCTGATCTCTTATAAATACTTTTGTAAGTTTATTATGGCATATGTCAGTCTGTGTTGATTTTTTTCTTTTTTCTTAGGTTATGATTGCCTAAAGATTGTGTCTTAATCTTTTCTTATCTCCATGTTGTTATAGCATCATTTTTAAAACATATAAGACAACAGTTATTGATTGGTTGAATTAGTTTTTCAAGGTTTATCAATTTAATAATTTATAGACACAGACTTAAGAAACTTGAAATGATTGTGGGTTTTTTATACATTGTAATAGCCAATATTTCTAGCACTATAGGGGATGAAATATTCCAAATAAGTTAATTTTATAGTTAACCTTTTGAATATCAGATATTTAGCTATAACACAGTCATATACACAATATGAACTGTTAAGCTATGTAAGGACCATTTGTCTCTACCTTCAATGGATTACTTTGGGTTTCTAAAGCTACTTTTTGGTTTTTCCTCTTTTTTTGGTTAACTTCTGTTGTCTTTACTGAGCTACTTTTTAGTCCTTTTTTTGTTTCCTTATTCTAAAGTGCTGTGTGCTAGAAACTCAGGTAGCCAATTACGCCAGTGTTCTGTGTAAAATGTGAAATCATGGCCTCTGAGTGAAGTTGTTAAGTCAGAAGAAAAGTACATGAGATAGGACATGAAATCTGTTGTGTTACCTGAACTGAATTTTTAAAAATTCTTTTCAGAAAACAAATTACTTTTCTTTATACTTATATTCTAGATAAATTGTCTCATATGTGTTGCTTTATGAGTCAAAAGATTTTCAGATAAAGTCAAAGGTTACAGTAAATATGCTTCAGCTTTTCAGAAGTTTAATTTATGCTACTGTCTGAATTTTCACAAATAGCTGCTTAATACCACTGTGTATTTGTAGATCTACTCTCTAAGAAAAAAATGATAGTCAACAAATCAAACGCTAGATAGAGGTATACTAAATGTTAAAGAATACAGTCACATACTGTTTATCACTTTCATAAAATGAACTTTGTGAAGTCAGCCTGGTTTATATCAAAAGGTTAGTCACTATACATTGTTATTTTCAAAGTTTTAAGAAGAGAATTTTTATGATCCTCTTTAGGTTCCTTCTTTGATTATTAAGTAGCTTTGGTATTATCCTTCTAAACATTTAGGTTTCCAGTTTGGTACTTAGTCTTGTGAATGTTTATTTACACTATGAAGGACAACAGTGGTCTGATTTAATTATGTAATTTTGTAGTATATGTCCTTTGGCAAGCATTCTGCAGTATTGATCTGTCCATTCAGAATGTTTATCAATTAACCTTAATTTTTTTTTTCTAGGTTAAAAAATGGCCATACTTTAGTGACTATTCAGCCTAATGCCCTGCTTATGAAAATTTCCATCATTCTTTTTTTCATTTTGGATTGAGAAAATGAATCCAAATATTGAAGCAAGTACGAGATGTTGGGAAAAAATACCTGCTAAATAGTGGAACATCTAATAACTAATCTGCAAGAAGTTGTAAAGAAACAAAATTGTTATGCTTCGATTTTGGTATGGTATTGACTCTCTAGAACATAGGTAGCCCTCTAAAAAATCATCCAGTTTTCTAAATTATGGAAATTTTGTGGAAGACGTTGACCTGGATTTTGAGCCTCGTCATGGCTTCATCGGAATTTCATAGTGACTACAGGCTTTCATACAGTTCTCAAGGTAGGATTCCTGCTTTTGAAATTGACAAAAAAATATTGCTATTAATCTAACAAGGAAAGATTCTGAATATTTAGTTGAATGAACATTTTCTTTGAGATGTATAATGGTAGGAGCAGAGACCTACTGTGTCAATTCAGTGCTAGTTTCAGCAATGTTCATGACTATAATAGTCTTTTAACTTTTCCTACTAGTATTTAACATCTAGTGCATTTTAGAGTTGACTGGTCTTCCTTAGAAGACCCTGGCCTCTTCTTCTGATTCTTAACTTTACTGATATACTCATTGTCAGGGTTTACAGTAAAGATCATGTTCAAAAGGAATCCAAAAGTTATTGCTATAGAAGAATAGAAACCAAATTCTGACATAAGATCCTTGTGGACCCTGAATATAAAGATGTGTTTCCAAACTTAAGAATTCTGATCTAAGGACTAGAAGCTAGATAAAAGAATTAGAAGAAGTTCAACTTGTCAAGTTCTAATCCATGTTTGAAAGTCGCTCAGTTGTGTCAGACTCTTTGCGACACCGTGATCTATACAGTCCATGGAATTCTCTAGGCCAGGATACTGGAGTGGGTAGCCTTTCCCTTCCACAGGGGATCTTCCCAACCTGGGGATTAAAGCCAGGTCTCCCGCATTGCAGGTGGATTCTTAACCAATGGAACCACAAGGGAAGCCCATAATTTTAGTCCATAAAATTGAACTTTTTGTCATAGAAAAGATGTTACCAGAGGTCCTAGAAATGAAGATCATTTTGTTTTCCACAGACCAGTCCAAATCTTAAAGAGTTATTGAAAGCATACCTTTTTGAATTGTCCTCCCATGAATGTATAGTAACAGATCTTTTTTTTTTGTCCTGATAAGCCAGATTTTCAGGACCATTATGGATTGATATATATATCTAAGAAGTCCATATGTACAAAATGTGGCTCTCAAATCAACAAAGCCATAGCATTTAATATAAACTGTTATTTATAAGTGAAATAAGTATTATTTTTAAATTTTTTTCCATTTGGTCATGGTTTCATGGGAGTTTATATTTGTGGATGAACTTCATATTTAGACAGTGAAGCAGTGTGCAGACATTTGGTTCTGCCTTAGGGATAAACTTAGCTAAAAGAAGATATGGTTAAGAAGGTAAATTGGTAATATTTAGTGCATCTAAGTGAGGGAAATATATTTAATAGTCTTCTGAATTTTATATCGATCTAATAATTTTTAAACAGCTGTACTGTAATATACATACCATATAATCACCCATTTAAAGTATACAATTCCTTGGTTTATAGTTACTCACAGAGTCGTACAACTATCATCACAATCAAATTTAGAACATTTTTATCAACCCCAAAAGAAACTCTGAACTCATTAACGGTCACTCCCCACTTCTCTCCAAACCACCTTATCCCCAGTCCTAGGCAACCTCTGGTCTGTTTTTGTCACATAGAGGTTTGCCTGTTCTGTATGTTTTATATAAATGGATCATATGTGACTGGTTCTTTTCATTTAGCCTAGGGTTTTTATAGTATTAGATAATGAACTTTGATTATGAAGGCTGTTATGAAGATTCATTCATGTCATAACATGTTTTAGTATTCCTTTTTATTGTACAATAATTTGCTGTATGAATACATCACATATTATTCATCCATTCATTCATTTATCAATTGATGGACATTTGGGTTATTTACCACTTTTAGTTATTATGAATAATGCTGCTGTGAACATTTTTGTGCAAGTTTTTGTGTGGATGTATGTTTTAATTTCTCTTGTAAAAATACTTGAGAGTGAAATTGCTGGGTCAGATGGTCGTTCTATGGTTAACTTTTTGAGGAACTGCCAGGCTGTTTTCCAAAGTGGTTGCTGTATTTTACATTGTGACTGATAATTTTTTTAAAAAGTTCGACAAGATTGTAGAGATTCTGTGTACTCTTTTGGGTAACTTTCATAACATTTTATCTGAATGAAATTCTTTTGTTTTTCATATGTGTACTTTTACCAATATTCTTATGTATTGTAGAATTTAGCTCTTAGAATTCATGTTTTCAAATTAAATTTAAAAAAAAAGCGCCTTTCAAAAAACTTTAAAATACTTTTTTAAGGAATGGAATATTTGGAACTTAATTCATCTTGAGATTTTAAACTTTTGCTTTTTCATTTTTGCTTAATATGTTTTCCCATACTTCACATATAATGATGCATAGTTTTAAGGAATATAGTTGCTTATACTGCTACTTCTTTGATCTGTTAAATTTTCTTTTCTTCCATGTGTTTTTTCTGGATTTTCTGCCTTGTGATTACAAAGAGGAATTCCTGACTTATCTAGAACACTACCAGCTAACTATTCCAATAAGAGTTGATCAAAATGGAGCTTTTCTCAGCTTTACTGTGAAAAATGATAAACACTCCAGGAGAAGACGGAGTATGGACCCTATTGATCCACAACAGGCAGTATCTAAGTTATTTTTTAAGCTTTCAGCCTATGGCAAGCACTTTCACCTAAACTTGACTCTCAACACAGATTTTGTGTCCAAACATTTTACAGTAGAATATTGGGGAAAAGATGGACCCCAGTGGAAGCATGATTTTTTAGACAACTGTCATTACACAGGATACTTGCAAGATCAACGTAGTACAACTAAAGTGGCTTTAAGCAATTGTGTTGGGTTGGTAAGTAGATGTTATAATTTTAAATTTCTGATGGGGAAATAAATTCACAATGTAAATGTCTTTTCTCAGATTAATAATATACACAAATATATTTATATGGTTTATCTAGGGAAGGAAACATTCTAAAACTTTTGTTATTTCTATTGCCTTTGCTTTTGATAATCTTTTTCATAATGTTTGCATTGAACTTTCAAAGTAGGAACAATTTTTAAAACCCTGTATTATTAGTAGAGGAGTGAATGAAACCTCTCATTTCCTTTTAGAGTTATATTTTTCTGATCAAATACTATATGCTTAATGCATAGACAAAACTCAGTCATTGATGAGGAACTTAAGGGTATTGTGTGTATGTATGTATTTGTATTATGCAGGAAACCATGACACTGATTACCTCTTTAAGTTTCTTTCGTGTCTTTCTCTGGTAATCAACATAACTTAAAATTAGTTATGACCTATTTAAGTTTATAAGTCCTTGAAGCAAAATCTTATGTATCAATCAATGTCTCTTTAGAAAATATTTTTTTCCTACATTTATCTGGTAATTGATAATCTTATTTTATCCTGAAACTGGATTTCAAGAGTATAGGTTCTATGCTGGGCATTTAAGTCCATTCTAGTCTAATGGTAAATACACAGTTCAAGGTTGCACATAGTAATGATTGTAGAACAAAGACATTCTTCCATTTCTACTTCCTATATTTCACACTTCATCTACTGCTTTTCAGGCTAGTGTAGATGTTCTGTTAAAGCTTTATTGGTTTAAAAGAGTACAGACATTTTGATGCTCAACTCACATTTTCAGAAGCTGTTTTTTTCCCTTATTCTATCATATCCATATCCTCAATCTTATTTCAGTATAAAAAAGTGTATGGAGTTGAGTTTAGATAGGTTTTAAATTTCAAAGAAGTATTAAGAACTACATAGTGGAGAAAAATTTTTGCCATAGGTATATATAAGAATTTGCTCAAATGTCAATTTTCTGTAATGTTAATAAGTCAAAGTGATTACTTAGATTTTAGTATTTGGGTTAATTCCTATAATATAGACACATTGAATATATTCATCACTAGTTTCTTTGTCTCTAAGCAACTTTAAACTTTATATACAAAAGAGATTCCTCTTTTTGAATAAATTATCTAAAATATTTTAAAACTTATGATATTTGCTGTTAAATATGATAGAAAAATACTGTTCTTAGTCATTAACCAAGCTCTTTAAATTTGGCATTAACATTAATTATGCCATTGATCATTTTAACACGGTGGTCAAATGAACATATCTGAGATTTAGGGAAAAAGCTAATTCCACTGTGAAAGTTGAGGGAAGAGAAGTGAGTGGAGATACGAAGATGAGTTAGATTGTATAGGAGATAATGAAGGTCTATACCAAGACTATGGCACTGGGAATGGAGCAGATAGAATGAATTTGAACCTCATTTGGGGGAGAAAATTTATAGGATTTGTGTCTTATTGATTTTTCTTCCCTAGCATATAGTACATAGTGGATATTTAATAATATTTTAAAAAATTGAAATATCATTGAACTGGATGTGAAATGGAGGAGAGAAAGCAATTGAAGATGATTGAGATTTCACTTTTGGATGGGGCTGTATATGAATTTTACTAATAGAGAAAAGTCATGATAGTGGAATGCTAGATTTTAAAGGAAGATGAAGATAATGATTTTGATATAGTAAATGTGAAGAATCTGAAGAAATAAAGGTTAAAGATTCTAGTTGGCTTTTGGAAAATATAGCTTTGAAATTTAGAAAAGAATTTTATTCCGGAAACAAATAATTTGAGAATTGCTGATATAAGTGACTGCTGATGGAATGGTGAAAGACGTTGATAAGGCAAAGGTGAGAAGAAGGTTCTAAAGGGAATCTGTACTTAAGGGAATAGCAGAGTGTCACTCATCCATTTTTCATCCTCATTGAAACTTTCTGTGTCTCTCGTTCTCTTTTTTTTCCTATTCATTAGCACCTGTTTTGGGCTTCCCTTGTGGCTCAGCTGGTAAAGAATCTGCCTGCAATGCGGGAGACCTGGGTTTGACCCCTGGGTTCGGAAGATCCCCTGGAGAAGGGAATGGCTACCCACTCCAGTATTCTGCCCTGGAGAATTCCGTGGACTGTAGGGGTCGTAAAGAGTCGGACCTGACTGAGCGACTTTCACTTTCACTTTTAGCACCTGTTTTACTTTGCTTCCTATTGAAACTGTGTGGTGTTGATTCACTTTGATTTCTTGATTTAGGGGTGGTCTACCAGGTTTATAACTGAAGTTTCCATTTCTCTTTGGCAACTAATAAGGAATTTGTGAGCAGATACTATGTAATTATCCTTCCTCATCACACTTTTATTCACCAGTTTTAGTAATTCTCACGTTTATTCTTATTTTACATCATGTTATTTTTAAAATGTGTCCAACTCTGTGACCCCATAGACTGTAGCCTGCCAGGCTTCCTCTGTCCATGGAATTCTCCAGGCAAAAATCCTGAAGTGGTTAGCCATTCTGTTCTCCAGGGGATCTTCCCAACCCGAGATTGAACCTGAGTCTCCTGCATTGCAGGCGGATTCTTTACCATCTAACCCAGCAGGGAAGCCCTATATCATGTTACATTTTTAATCAAATGGAATATATAAATAAGTTTTTCTAAAATCCCATTTTTCTAAGGTCCTTTCTAACAAATTTTGTTTTTAATTGTTCTATATAAAATAGTTTTCAATGTGGAGATTATTGGTGCCTTCTAATCATATTTCCTTACCCATAATTTCAATTTTACAGTGCTTATACCACTCATCCATTTCCTTAGCCCTTGTATCTATTGCTTGAAATATATTCCATTCTTCTCTGGAGGTATTTTTCTTGGAGTATATGGGTTAATCAATTTCTTAAGCTAGTAATAGCTCAAGATCTTGGGGTTTCTTTTTTCCTAGGTTAGTTCCACATTTTCTTTTTGTTTACAGAATTTGTATACTTGTTTTGTTGGAGAACATTGTTAAGTAATTATCTCAGAAAATGTGCCTGAGAAGTAAAATTTCTGAGTCTTTGCCTGTTTCAAAGTGACTTTATGTTGCCCTCTTGTTTGGTTAATAATTTAGCTATATATAGAATTCTAGGTTCAAAAATAGTTTTCCTTTAGGACCATGGATGGTAGAATTGGAAAAGGCAAATATGAGGTATCAAACTTATCTCTGTGGTTTTATATCTTAGGAAAAGATTTAAAAATTAGCACTGATTTATTTTGGTGGCAGATAAAAGTCTACTTCTTTTTCTTTTCTTTAAAAGTTTTTCTTTCTTCAAAATGGTATGCTTTTCTTTTTATCCTCTTTGTTTCAGGGATTGTATAATAATGTGGTGAGCTGTGTGTCTTCTGTCCTTACTCCGACTTTGTATTTGATAAGCACTTTCAATTTAAAGACTCTCCTTCAACTGAGAGGTATATAAAAAAAAATTTCTTAGTAACTTTCTCTCCTTGTCCCCCACCATCCCATTCTGTAATTGGTTCTCCTTTTTCTACCCCCCCCCCCTTTTTTCATTTTTGTTCTAAGGTCTATGAAATTTTCCCACTTTTGCTTTCTTTTTCTTTAATTTATTTAAAAATTATAGCAGTCATATTTCTTATTTTTAACAGATCTTTTCCAGATTGTTTCTTTCTTCGTATTTTGTTCTTACTTCATGAAAACTTATTTTCTTTTATCTCTCTAAGATACTAAATACTATACACACAGTTAGAAAAGACTAACAACCGCATTAGACTTTCTGTTCATTTAGTTATATTCACAGTTGCCTCTACATTTTTCATTATCAATTCATCCATTCATCAAATGATTATAAGTACTTATCATGTAAGAGGCACTGTTCTAGGTGATAGGAGTACAACAGTGAGCAAAACAAGAATCCATGTAATCATATAGCTTGCATTCTAGTGGAGGAGATGCACAATTAAGTAAGTAAGGATCAATATGTTGGATAGTGATAAGTTCTAAGGTAGAAAAAATATTTACTTAAGACCTTAAAAGGAATAAGAAAAGGAATGATGACATCTGAGAGATAAGATTTCCAGGTGGAAATCTTTAAATACAAAGGTCTGATTTGAGAGTGTTTGAGGAACACCAAGATTACCATGGCTAGAGCTAAGTGAGAGAGAGCAAGAGTAATGGAAGGTGAAGTTAGAAAGAGGACTGGGGGCAGATGTTAGGCTTTAGAGAACACAGTAAGGAAAGAATCAGTGATGATTCCAAGCTTGGGGCCTGAGCAACTAGAATATATTAATAGCAGCCATCAGTGAGATGAGAAAGATGTAGGCATTAATTGAGATGGAAAGCTGTAGGGGTACTAGGTTGGGGGGTTTTATATATCATAATTTCACATGTTGAACTTGAGATACTATATAGGATGCTGGATATGCAAGCCTGGAGTTTAGGAGAGAGATGTGAGTTGTGAACTTATTTTGGGAATAATCTTATCTATGTATCTGTATCTATCTATATATATGGCATTTAAAGCCAGGAGGTAATATGAACTTGCTTTGAGATAGTATATATAGAATAAATTAGAGGTCTAAGGACTGAGCCTTTGGGTGCTCCAAGAGGTTAGGGAGATCAAAAAGATGTGGAGGGGACATCTAAGAACAGTGGAGCAAGAAGGCTGAAGAAAAACCAGGCAAATATCCTAAAAGCTAATAGAGGGAAATATTTAAAGGGAAATATGCTGCTGAGTCAAAATAAGAGTAGACTGAAGACCAATAATTGAATTTATCAGTGGCTTCTCTCCTAGACCTCCAGAGGGATTCAGAGCACATACACAAATACAAATATTAAGAACCAATGATATAAGAAAATACTCAAGTCAACAATTATTCAGGAATGGCATTGCAGTGAGTGACAATGATCCAGAAGCTAAGGTCTTTGAGGAGTGATGAAAGTGACTTTGCGTCAGTAGTTGTCTAGTACTTGTAGAGGGAAAAGGTGATGGTATGGGATTTGAAGGGTATGGAATTTT